TTTTTTTTTTTATAAATTTTAATTGCATCTTATCTATCTATATGTACGATATATTGCCAATAGCTATCATAAACTTTTTTTCGTATACATTTGCATACATACATTAGTGCATGGGCGCGTTCAGAAATGCATCAAGCCAAAGCATTAGTATTTTTTATTTCTAAACTATAATTGATGGAAATGTCAAATATGCGCAACCACGGGTAAAAGCCGAATTGGAACTTAGTTGCGCAAATAAGACATTTCCATCAATCATAGTTTAGAAATAAAAGACTGATGCTTTGGCTTGATGCATTTCTGAACGCACCCCATATGTTAAATAAAATCGCAGTTTCCACATTATTATGTTATATTTATACTTTCATGCCATTATCCAATGAATGTGTATGTTTCAATTTAAGCCAGACTGAAAGGTTTTTAAGCCTATTTCTACAATACATACAATGCAAATAAAGAAACTAATTAAAATGACGGTTTTTTTATTTTATGATAACGTTTACTTCAGATTCGTAGAAAACGAGAAATGTGTAGACAATATTTCGACGACTAAAGAAAAAGTACTTAAATTTATTAAATATGTATGCAAAAAAGAGGCTCAATAGCTCAATAGTGAATTTCCAATTTCTTGCTCATGTCATGTTCTTGATTTAATTTGGTGCTTATAATATTATCAGGAATGTTCATTTTCCACTGGATTATTTTGGAATTGGAATGGTTATACATATGAATGTACGTACATAAGTACTAATTTACTTAATCAAAAAATATTGCTTATATACACACGTATACATATGTATTCTCTAATAACACAAATACTAGCACTAAAAGAGATCATAGAAATAATCTAAGCCTTGTCCCAATTCCCAAATTGAAATGCCAGTACCCAACTCTTTGGCAAGTTTCATGCGTTCATTTATAGAATAAAGACTGGGATAAAAAACTATATGACGGCCATCTTCGGATCTGAAAATCGAAAAACAAAAAGCTATATTAAACCTCAGATAGGTTAATGAGTATTTATTTTATAAGTGAAAAAAAAATGTATCTTTCTTGAATCCCAAAAAAGCAGTTTTATTATCTCATTATTATGTTAGGATAAAAAATGATATGGACCAATGTTATCTATAAAATTAAAAATATTTACTTACTTTACTTCGAAATAGTTTTCGACATCCAACTCATCGAAAGGTAAGCGTTTTTTGGCATATTGCAAAAGTTTCAAATATTGTCCAGCTACAATTGGGCTACCACCATCGGGTGTATAATCATTGCCATACATGTTGAGACCTAATAGAATTTTGCGTCTTTTCGTTTTTGCATCATGACTTTTAGCAGGCGCCAATAGCTCGACTGATTGTCGTACCCAGTATAATGGAGAGTTTGCACCTAAAAGTATTAACGCCCAATAAAAAGTTAAAGATCTAATAAATCGATATATATGTATGTACATATACCTGGTCTTTGCACATTCCAGAAGTCGTACGTCATCAAAGAAAATGCATACACATGCTTGTACAGTTGATTAAAATGCCTTTCTGTGAAAAAGTTCGGAACTTCTTGCCGATATGGGGGTATCACAAGGATTAAACGTAAATTTTCTTTTTTAAGTGCATCATCTAAAATGACATTAATTATAAAAGGTAATAAATCTGTACTTAACTTTATATAATTTACGTAATTGTTGCACCAATGTTATGAGAAATTGGTCGTCTACTCGCCCTCCTAGTTGCGTCCAAAACTCTATAACTAAACCATCAAATTCATATTTCTTGCAAGCATTTACCAACATTTCGTTTAGCTGCATCCTCTCACTTTCCAAACTCAGTAAACGCGAAAAATCGCGTTCGGTGAATTTATCAAAAATGAATCGCGGAAAAACTGTAGATAGTCAATATATTTACATATATATAAGCTTTTTAAAGGGTTACCATTAAAATACCTACTTTTCACTGTAGTGCCACGTTCATTTTTACCTTTCCGGCGCACTTCTCGCATCCAATTCGTATCAATATTGTGCGTGCCGGCTAATTTATATTTATCACCATTTTTGATAATTTGAAACCACACCGGCGAGACGATATCGAATTTTCGCGCAAACCACTTTGCCACATCATAGCCAAGCGAGTTCCACTGCAAAGATAGACAAGCGTGATTATAAATTATCTATGCATATGCTTAAAATGGTTGCGTTCCAGATGCTTCACGATTTGCAGGTTTTTACAGGAAGCCGTTCCAGGTGACCTGATCACGAGCAGTAATAGTTTTTTTTTTTTAAGCAGAAGATTTCATCCAAGGTGTATTAAACAAGGTGGTGTTGGGGCGACAGCTGAGTTTTTCGCCGTGGAGGCCATTACGTCAAAATGATGTGTTTGTTGTAACTCATACCAATGACAGTATGGACATCAGCGTATAATTTGTTAGTGTAATTTTTTACTTATATACGGCCAACACCACCTTGTTAAATACGCCTTGATTTCATCAGTCCACTCAAAGATGCCGAATATGAGGAACCTGAAAATTAATGCATAATCTCAAAAAGGGGGTTGACGAAACTAGGTTTCAGAACGGATGAAAAAAGTGATCAAAATTATACTTATGCTAATTGCTTATCGGAGGGCGGTCTACGCAAGCCTAATTCAAGTTTTTTGAATACATTGGAAATTTTAAATTCGAAATTTGTTGAAGTTAATGGTGATACGCCAACCACAAAGCCTAATTTTTTGCAAAATCTGATGAGAAATTTAAAAGTAAATTTTCACGAATTTCATGTGAACAAATTTCCCAAATTTATAAAGTAAAACAAAAATATATTTTCCCAATTTGTTTTTGTTTTGCATGTTAAGTTATGAAAACAATTAATTCACATGGAATTGGCGATTATAAAAGGATTTCTTTGGAAAAAGAATTCTTTAAAATTAGATTTTTAAATTGCAAGATTGCATACAAAATAAGAAAATGAAAAAATTACAACATAATGCTCTCTTGATTTTTATTATAAAATAAAAAGAACAATTTCAATGAAGTCTCCTTTAACATTACATATTTTATATATTTTTAATAAAAAAAAGGTGCGAACCATGTAAGTAAAAAAATTACCAAGCACTGAAAAGTATCATGGGTTAAACTCATACCTGAGCAGACTAAACGCAGATGTGCCGAATGAGTGTCCGGCATGCGGAGAGACACCTGATGACTCGAAGCATCTCTTCGTATGCCCGGAAAACCCAACAACCCTAACGCCTTTGTCCCTGTGGACCGACCCTATTGAGGCTGCACGCTTCTTTGGGCTGCCGTTAGTGGAACTTGACGACAACGACTGAGATATTAACCGATCTGGCCGGGGTTGTTGTAGCCGCTACAACAACAACAACAACAACCACCTTCCATAAGGTTTATTAATGGAGAAAACAGCTTTTCCTGCAAATCGTGAAGCATCTAGAACGCAACTAATATTTACCGCTGTTACATAGCCAAGCACAGTATCGTTGAAATTCCGTAATGTTGTGTCCTTGTAATATGCTGCATTGTGTTCCAGAATTTCTTGTGGTAAAGGACGCACATCAATCAGGTTTCGTTCGAAAACAGATTTATCGTGTGGTCCAGCCAGCACGTTTTGCATTATGGCAATACTAATCACATTTTCTTTTTGGGAAAATTTTAGAATGGTAACCCCCGATTACGGAATTAAGGAAAATAGGGGGGTAGAGGGGGTTCTAAAGGGGGTGTATGTAAAGTTTTAAAGCGCGCAACCTTATAGTTTTTTAGTAATTTGTTATTAAAGTTTGTAATTTTCACCAACTTGTATGGGACTATTTCACAATATATAATGGGGTGCACTTTCCACTAAATTTAAACGTTATTTACACTCAATATATGCGCAGCTAGAGTGTGCACGTTCAAACAAATAAATACTTTTAGTATATTACAGCTTTTTTATAAAAAATTGATTGTTGTTTAAGGCTATCTGCACACTTGTCGTCCAATCATAGTTGCGTTATCGTCTCGCCCTGAAATTTTGAGCCGAGCACATGCATTTCAAAGGAGATCTGCACACTTGTCGTTATCGGCTAGTTATCGGCAAATCGTAGAATATGCAGAAACGGATAAGTACGGCACTGTCGTTTGCTAATCGTTGTGCACGCATTGTTTGTTGACATTTTATGGGGGAAAATTAGTGAAAAAGTTAATATTTGCATTAAAATTGTATAAAAATTAGTATTTTTTTGCTAAAATCTGTGGAAATTATTAAAAAGTGGATAATTGCATTAAAATTTAATAAATATGAGCGTTTTAACTATAAAATATGACGAAATTGTATTAAGTCTCTGTGTGCATACACAAAACACATTCCAGGAAAAGAAAAGAAGAGATATTACTGGAAAATTACGTCTAGAAATGTTGCAGCACAATCTATATTTAAAAAATTGCAGGTTTTTGTAAATATTTCGCGAAAATATCAACCAAAAAAACAGAAAATACCTGCTCCAAGTGAATTTTTAGACGCCAAATGAATTGAAATATCACGACCACGTGTGCAGAAGTGTAATCGTCATGTAATCGTTGCTTCATGACGATAACTATGACTCAACTATGATTGGACGACCAATGAGCAGAAAGCCTAACTTTATGAGAGTATTTTTTTTTTAATGCTTTTCGCTGCTTGACAGCACTCCTTCAATTGGCCAGACCCATTTCAGCTGAGGATCTCTACAACGCCATATGTCCAAACTCTTTGACAGTGTTGCCATACTTTTCCACTTCCATTCTCCATCGATGACCGGTGGAAGCAAGTGGTTTACAAACAAAAAATTAAAATAAATTCACTGCAAAAACATTTAGTACCTTTGCTCTACTGAAATATTTGTACTTTAACATCGTATACCTGTTTTACATATTAAATTGACTGGATTTTGTACTATGATTAAACTTCATTTATAAAAATTTTTTTTTTTTTTTTTTCCTTTCCTTCATTTATAGTTATACTGAAAACTTAGCAACTAAACATCTTCGAATTCTAATAGTTTTTTTTTTTTTCTTTTTTTTCCTCCTGAAATTATGTTGTACATTAAAATGCTTTAAAAGCTGACTTTACTTACGATTACTTTTCTTTATGAGAGTACATGCAGAACACGGTGGAGAGAATACAGAGGTGGCGCCGATGACGATACCGCTACTCGGCTCTCAGTGATTTTGACAGAATCAGCTGTTTTGGTGACGTCATAGTAGAGTAGACAGCAGTAGTGATGTGCTGAGTCAATACTTTTAAGTACCCAATACTCTCGGTACCGAAACATTTAGGTTTCGAATAAAAGCGCACATAGGCCAAAAATATGGAAAACACGCCTAACAAAACCCGAATGTAAGAGCCAATAGAGCTTTTTTACTGATTCAAATGAAAGATGTATATATGTCGGTTCGATGCCATAATACAGAGAAACCCTTACTTGTTTGAAGCATTTTTGTTCCAGCTGAATCGGACGATATCATTTTTGTAGGCCTGGGACAGATTCTGTAACCAGTTAACGACAATTTTCGAATCGGTATCGGTTTTGTCGACGTATTTGTAAGTCAACAAGTGCGATATCGATCCGAAACTTGTCGCTAACTGGCTACAGAATCTCTCCCCTGAAAGGCTTCTTCATCCGTCAAAGTATTTTTCTTGAACCTTGGACCGACTAAGGTTAAAACTGATAAAATAATATTTTTCTGTGGCGATAAGTTCAAGTGTTTTAGCCGATATCATATAAATTAGTAATGAAAGTTTTTTCTAAACCTGAAATGCATATAATGGCGAGGGTTTAATGTAAATAATCGGTATCGGATACCGAAAAGGAAGTATAGGGTACCGAAATCTTTTTTAAGTATTGGGTACCGAGTATTGGGGACAATTCAGCACATCACTAGTCGCCTTCATTCTCGCCGCTCTCAGTTGTCAACTCTACGTTGACGTCACGCTAAAATTACTCTCACGAATTCTGCTGCAATCGGCGCAATCTTGTATTCTATCATTCTTGCATGCAGAATATGTACAAATGGCAGCAGGACTGTGTTGCCATATCTAAAAAACCAAGAGTGGAAAGCAAGACCAAAAGAAAATACGATTAAAAGAAAAATACGACAAGGTTCTTTTGTTCAGATAAAAATAAATAGTAGGGGGATTGGGGTAATGTTCCCCCATAAAATACTGAAACACATTTTTAAGGCTTATATGTATATTTAATTGCGTCAATAAGTTTGAGGAAAGGGTCCTCATGCTTACGAGCAATTGTTTTGCGACAAAGAAAAGGGGCCGAACACCTTTTGCATAGAACACCTTTCTGCGTAGGCGGCCTTCGGCCGCACTTAGGGATTATAACCCTCAGCCAGTTGAATTCTCCTTTCTGTGTTGCCAAAGAAAAGAGGCCGAACATCTTTTGCATAGAACACCTTTCTGCGTAGGCGGCCTTCGGCCGCACATAGGGATTATAACCCTCACTACGTAGAATTCTCCTTTCTGTGTTGCCGGAAGAGGGGAATATGACCCCAATCCCCCTACTATTTATTTTTATCTGAACAAAAGAACCTTATCGTATTTTCCTTTTAATCGTATTTTCTTTTGGTCTTGCTTTCCACTGTTGGTTTTTTAGATATGGCAACACAGTCCTGCTGCCATTTCCACATATTCTGCATGTACTCTCATAAAATCAATTGCGTTGCAGCATCGGTGGTGAGCGGTTGACTCTTGTGGATAGCGGATAGCAGCGGATTTTTATACAAGTGCAGTGGTGACGGTAGTTTTGCTAATTTAATACTTTTGTGTTTAAATTTTTGGTTCAAGTTTATACGATCAGATTTTTGTGTTTTCTGACGTGTGTATTAATTTTGAGTGGTTCCTGGTAGCTGCAGCTTCCTGAGCTTTGCTTTTTGTGCTGTTTGGGTGAGTTTCTTGTGGCGAAAAATTTTCATACTTGGCATGGCGGTTTTTGTATAAAAGATGGCGGACGCTCAGGCGTCTGGGATGGCGTCCAAAATGGCGTGCGCATCTTTTAAGAATGCGCAGGCCAATTTGGGCAAAATCGGGAAAACTAGGAAGAAAAAGACTTTTGGCTCAGTCTCCAAGAGACCTAAGGGCGATTCTAACAGATTGGTGGAGGAGTTTAGTGATTCGAGTGAAAATATGAGTTGTGGCGAACTTCCCCCACTCAGTGGCATGCTGGTTAAGAGGGGCTCGTTAGCTAGTGTGGTACAGTCTGATAGTGTCCAGACGAATATTGAAAACGCTTTTACAGTAGTAGAAAATTCATTGGGTTCGTCTGATTTTTTGAATAGTAATGTTGGTTGCGGTTTGGATAGTGCTCAGTACAGTGCTGGTGGCCATGTTAATCATTTGAATGCAATGGCGGCTCAGGTTAGCGCTGACTCTGCTAATCAGGGTGGTGCTGGGGTTTTAAATACATCCGAAAGTAATAAGTTCAATCAAAATGAAAGTCAGAGATATAATGTTGATTTTAAGGGAGAAGCAGTTGTTCTTATGGATGCGTCTAAAAGTGGTTTATTTGAGAATAAGGGGGTGAAGAACGGCCTTTTCCTTTTCGGCAAATTTCGGAAGTTAAATATAAGTGGTCTGAAAAACATTCTTGCCATAGGAAGGTCCTTATTTAAGGTTTTCTTTTATTCGGTTAAAGATGCAAACGCAAGTCTGACTAACAATGACCTCAAGAATATGGGAATTAGAGTCTTTATTCCCAAAAGTTTTTTTGAGACCTATGGTGTGATCAGACAGGTACCTCTTGACTTTCTAGAAAGTGAAATATTTAACAACATTCAGTCGGACATTCCGGTGTTATCGGTGTCTAGAATAACTAGGAGAGATCCAAACAACAAGGAGAATTTTGTTCCTACTTTTTCGTTAAAAATTGGCTTTGAAGGAAATGTTATACCGGAGTCGGTCAGAATTTTCTGTGTCGGGTTTAGGGTGAATCATTTCTTTCCCAGGGCCAAGCAATGTTTTAAGTGTGGGCGTCTCGGCCATACGAAACTTTCCTGCAGGTCAAAGAACCGGTGCATAGTCTGTGGCAAGGAGGAATCTTGTCAGGAAAAATGCAATAGTACTAACCCTAAGTGCATTTTATGTGGTAGTAATGACCATTTATCGTTCAATAAAAATAGGTGTCCCAGCTGGGAGAAAGAAAGACAGGTCATTGAGATCATGACGGTGAAGAAGTTGTCTAAGCGTGAAGTTTTTGATAGCTACAGAAATGTGCTTGAAGGGAATAGTTTCTCAGTACTGGCCGATTATGATGAAATGTTCCCAGCTAGGGTGGGACAGTCCGAAGTGAGGCAGAATAACGAAGGTGTAGTAAATAGGAGTCTAACCAGGAGAAAATACAACGTGGTTGCCAGAGCAGCAATTAACAAGAGCAGTGAGGTCGGCAAAAAGGTTCAGCAGGCCAGGATTATAGAAAAGTCTGTGCCGGTGTATGAAAGTCCCAAGTGGGAGAGAGTGAGTGAAATTGAAAAACTTCTCAGTGAGTTGTCGGTGAAATTCAATATCGATGCTGAGGAGCCGATTTTGAAGGTGTTGGGGAATCTAATTAAAACTAACGTAGATGATAGACTTGTTGTAAATAGAAACAAAGATGACAATAAAAATTCTTCAATTTAATTGTCAGAGTCTGAAAGCCAATAGAGATTATATAAACCTTTTTCATTCAGCATAATGAGATCGACATAGTGGTTCTACAAGAGATTTTCTCGTGCGGTGATATTTTTGAGGGCCATAAACTTATAAATTTTAATTTGTTATCAAAGTTCAGGGCAGATGGCTACGGGGGTGTAGCCAT